CAATGTATTGAAGTGTAGGTGAGTGTACTGCCGTGTAATACAGTACAGTACCATGTATTGAAGTGTAGGTGAGTGTACTGCTTTGTAGTACAGTACAGTACCATGTATTGAAGTGTAGGTGAGTGTACTGCCTTGTAGTACAGTACAGTACCATGTATTGAAGTGTAGGTGAGTGTACTGCCGTGTAGTACAGTACAGTACCATGTATTGAAGTGTAGGTAAGTGTGCTGCCGTGTAGTGCAATACAGTACCATGTATTGAAGTGTATGTGAGTGTACTGCCGTATAGTAAAGACAGTACCATGTATTGAAGTGTAGGTGAGTGTACTGCCGTGTAGTGCAATACAGTACCATGTATTGAAGTGTAGGTGAGTGTACTGCCGTGTAGTACAATACAGTACCATGTATTGAAGTGTAGGTGAGTGTACTGCCGTGTAGTGCAGTACAGTTCCATGTATTGAAGTGTAGGTAAGTATACTGCCGTGTAGTACAGTACAGTACCATGTATTGAAGTGTATGTGAGTGTACTGCCGTATAGTAATACAAATACACACAATGTTAACATAATATGAATTGTCCTTAAGTACATATGTGTATGGTAATATCTACCATGTATCCTGTATAGGCATCTATTTTTATACTTAAAATTCGAAGGAAATAATTCGTATCTTTTCTTACGTCCACAGGCTCTTCCAGAATACGGCATAATGAGTAGATGTAATTGCGACAGTTGTATTTGGAAATATAGAAATTGTAGTTTCAAGGTGAGTTATTCAAAATCTCTCTCTCGCTGCTTATGTAGCATGGTGTTTGGATGTACACGATCTAATTCATGTGATTTCAGGCATTTGTTCATACACATAATATACTTCTAGGTTCCTATATTATGGCCGCAACAACTTATTAAACACTCCGTCATTATTGACTGTGAACGATGATTGATAATAATAACAATCGTTAATATAACCGTTTCTGTTCACTGCGAGATCCCGCGTTATGCGTGAACTCGAACGTAAAAAAAGGTCAGATAATTAAATAACATCGCGTGAGATTCGAGAAACCATCAAGTAAGTATATTCAAACGCATTATTTCCCTGTAAAAGGTCAACCTTCAATTGGAGCAACGAATTGAAATTATTAAATTCGACTTCAAAATCAAATCGTTCGATTTTTCGAGACAGACGTTCAGTGCGCATTGTTTACACAACTCGCGAGATCTCGCAGTGAAACAAAAAATCAAAATAAAATGATTATCGCGAGTATAATATGTATGATGTAGTACATGTCGTGCTGTATTAATATAAAGGATGACATAGAATATGGAATAGGGATTATTTAAAATTTACATGCAATTACGCCAGTAACATATGTCGATTAGAACGAAGGACAGTAGGTACAAGGCGAGGTATTCACTGTGGCAGTTTATTCACTAAGAATTCTACGGCTTGTAATAACACGTGAAATAACAGTTCCGGCACGTGATAGCACATGAAATAACAGTTCCGGCACGTGATAGCATGTGAAATAGCAGTTCCGGCACGTGATAGCCCGTGAAATAACAGTTAAGGCACGTGATAGAACGTGAAATAACAGTCCCGGCACGTGATAGCATGTGAAATAACAGTTCAGGCATGTGATAGCACGTGAACGAACAGTTCGGGCACGTGATAGCACGTGAAATAGTGAATAAACTCAAACGTAAAGCCATTTGGTCTTGTACCTGATAACACTGTGGTTACGTAATTGCAATGCTGACATCATGCCTACTCCCGACAACATGTTCCACAGCTCTTCGCAGATCCATATGAATGTTACTACATGTGTTCCCGTTTTTATGTGCGATGTGCACCACTACATTTTTCAACAATTCATTTCGAGTAGCACAATGCAATGGATTTGCCCATAAACTATTATCACGTAAAGATATACACATATCATTCATCGATAGACCCACTCGAATTTCAAAGGTATTATAAGGCTACTAAAACTGCACAATGTTACTTCAAAGTATATATTTTAATGATGTTAATTATAGTTGCTATCGAAAATGAATTATCGCAGAGGGGTTTTTGCTAACAGTTCGACAATTTTTTTTCATAGCTGTTCAGCAAATCCGTCGTCTTCGAAATAATTCGGCAATTTTCGGATTTCGGCGTATGAATAGTTCAAATGTGGACATTATGTGTTTATGACAAATAACCGTATAGTCTTACCAAATAATTGCGGATTTTAATAATTTTACGTTCAACGCAAATGACTGAAAAAATAATTGAATGAACATGAACAAATGCTTATTTTTGAGGTTTTTATATAGTATTTTGTAAACACATTTAATTCATTTTAAAGGACACATTCTATGATCAATGAAGAATCAATTGAATCTCTGATATGTGAGGAACGCACAATGTATATAATCATAGCTCATACAATGGAGATATCTGTCGATGGAACATTTGTATCAAAATTGTAATTTATAAAGTGCTTAGGTCATTTTTGAAGAATTATTCTTTGTTTTGACATCATTACATGACTTTTTTCATTTCAACTGAAATTCAAGAAATTATTCAGCCGAAATGTTCAAGCGGGAGGATCGCCACCTGCGCACCAGTGGCGCATCCAGTAAAATGTATTGGGGGGTCCAAGCTACGCTTAAGATATACGGAGCGTAAATCACAGAGAAGCTATGCATAATCCAGGTCATATGAATCATCATGCGTTTGCGGGGGCATGCCCCCCCCCCCTCTGGATCCGCCACTGATGCGCACGCGCGGGAATTGAGTCCTAAGCGACGATAACATCACACGCTAAAACGCAAAGGCTTATGGGTAGACGCTTGTTTGTAAACAACGACACACTATGGCCATATATTGCATGCAGAGGTGTCGACTCCCCAGCTTTAATACATTTATTAGCATGGTGTAGTTTTATATGTAAACAACAACAACCTTAGTTTTTTTCTCTATCCACTGGAATAGTTTCATCATCGATAATATCCACTGTCGCTGAAAGTCGGAGATATTGACTCTCATCATTTCAGAAACCCTACCAACAGATTAATACTTAAAAATAAAAACATTTTTTTTTGTTTACAATTTTTGTTTAATTCACACACTATCATTAAATATACCAATAGGCATCAATGAAATGGGATTTTAAAGAAACTTACTCTGCTTCCTTCTGTTTTTTTTTGCGTCTCATTTGATATTTCAGACAACCATAACAACAACAACAACAACCATAATGATTATCGTAACTATGGTGATATGGATTAATAGTAATGAATCGTCGTTCCAATTTCGGAATGGTCAATACCCGTCCTACAAAGCAGTGCGATTAAGACAACAGAGACCGGAACTTATGAAATATCATCCAGTAAATAACGTGGTATTCATCAAAACACACAAAACCGCAGGTACTTCGCTTCACTGTCTCATCTGTCGCTATGGTTACAAGAACAATTTATCGTTTGTGTTTTCTAGGTACAATCGGGAGAATGGTCACATACGAAAGACAGCTCTGAATACGAGTCGATTCTTACCACCTCTTGACTACAATGGTACTAGGGACCCTGTCTTCAATATTTTGACTGGTCACGTGACATATGCAAAACGTACAATAAACACATTTATGTCTGGGGAACCAAAATTCATCACTATTGTAAGAGAACCCGCAAGTCAAATCGAATCGCATATGAACTTTTTTCATCACAAGAGTGAAGTATTGAGGGGAATAGACACATTTCTGAAAGACGTGAACTATTTTCAAAATGGCGGCACATCAGGAAGCAGAAACAATCAAATTAGGGATCTTGGTTTGACACTCATTCAGACAGCCAATGAGACTATTGTTAATAACACTATTAACAAACTAGACGAGGAATTTGATTTAGTTCTTATAGCTGAATATTTCGATGAGTCCTTGATTTTACTGAGAAGACTCATGTGTTGGGAGTTTGAAGACATAGTTTATTTAACTAAAAATACCCGACCGAAGCGAGACACGATTACTAACACATTTCGGCAGAATGTTTATAAGTGGTCAAGAGCTGACATGTTGTTGTATAATCACTTCAACTTCACGCTATGGAGCAACATCCGTGCTTTGGGACCAAAATTTCATGCTGAGTTAGCAACATTTCGTGCTTTACTCAATGATACTAGTACACGATGCTCTGCATCTAAAATCGTAAAAAGATACTCTAATGGAGTGAAACATTTTGAATATTCCACAAGCAACTCGACATTCTGCAAACAGCTGGGAATGAGCCACGAGGATTGGTATCAGTCAATCTCTAAACGCCAACAATAAAATGCTTGTGTTAAATAAGGTCGTCTGTGACATGGATGCACGGGTATATTTCTTCTTTAATGCCATTATGCTTAACGCTTCTGTTTGAATAAAGCCGTTTTTTTTAAATCTGTCCTGTGAGCCTGTGGCACACAGTCACAAAATTTAGGGCTTATTTTATTCTGCTGGTTAACCACATGTGTTATATGAAATCCGGTTGTTGCGCATGAGTCGAATGAATCAACCACTACGCTATTGGGTTTCCTTAAAAACTGTTTAGTCTGTTTTTGTTTTGCATTATACCGGCTGAAGGAACAATAGAAAATTAGATGCATTATTTATAAATTGACGCATATTTCAAAATGTCAGAAAAAGTTCGTA